TGTTATTTAGAAATATGCTGTTAAATTTCCAAATATTTGGGGATTTTGAACACTCTTTTCCTTATTGATTTCTAGTTAACTTCCATTGTGGCCTTCAGACATACTTTATATAATTTCTATTTTGTTGATTATATTAAGGTATGTTTTGCCTCCCACTATATTCTTAGTGAATATTTCATAGGAACGCAAGAAGAATGTGTATTTTGCTATAGTTGGATGGTGTATTCTATAAATATCAAATCAAATTGATTAAAAGTGCTGTTTAGGTCAATTCTATCCTTACAGGTTTTCTGCCTGCTTATCTATCATTTACCAAAAGAGAATGTTGAAATACCCATTATAATAGTAGCTATGTCCATTTCTTTTTGTCAGTTTTTGTCTCATACTTTTGATACTCTGTGGTTAGGTGCATACACGAGTTATCTGGAGAACTGTCATGATGGAAACATCTTTATTGCTAATAACTTGTTCTGAAGTTGGCTTTGTCTGTAATTAATATAATTACTTTCTCTTTACTAGTGTTAGCTTAGTATTACCTCTCTATTCCAAAACTTTTCTAAATTAATAAACTATTTTTAAAATTCTAGCTCTTTTAGGGTCAGAAAGCATTGAATGGAAGGTACAGAGAGTTCCCATGGACCTGTTACACCCACACATGCACATTCTCCCTCACTACTGACGTTCCCATCTGTTACAATGGATGGGTCTATACTGACACATCCTTATCACCCAGAGTCCATACTTTACACTGGAGCTCACTCTTGTCATTGTACATTCTATGGGTTTGGACAAACGTATCCACCACTGTACTGTCATACCAAATAGTTTCCATGCCCTAAAAGTCCCCTATTGTTTCCTCCCACTTCCCAAGCCCTGGCATCCACTAATCTTTTCACTGTCTCCGTAGTTTTTCCTCTTCTAGACTGTCAGCGTTGGAATCATGCGTTTGTAGCCTATTCAGATTGGCTTCTTTCACTTAGTAATATATACTTACTTTTCTTCTCTGTCTTTTCATGGCTTGATCACCTTTTTCTTTTTGGTGCAAAATAATATTCCATTTTCTGAATGTACCACTTCATTTATCCAGACATCTACTGAAGAACACCTCAGTTGCTGCCTCCTTTTGGCTATTACACAGACATACATCATTTTATTGTGCTTCACTTTATTGCACTTTGCAGATACTGTGTTTTTTTTTTTCAAATTGAAAATTTGTGGCATCCCTGCCTCAAGCAAGTCTGTCAGCACTAGTTTTCTAACAGCATTTGTGCACTTTGTGTTTATATGTCACATTTTGGGACTTCTTACAATATTTCAAACTTTTTCATTATTATTTACAAGTTATGGCAATCTGTGATCAGTGATCTTTGATGTTACTATTGTAATTGGGCATTTTTTAGTAATAGTATTTTTAACTAAGATATGTACTTTTTAGACATACGTTGCATACTTGATAGACTACAATCTAGTGTAAACATAACTTCTATATGCATTGGGAACCCCCCCAAAATTGTATGACTTGTTTTACTGCAATATTCGCCTTCTTGCTGTGCCCTGGAACTGAACCCACAGTATCTCTTAGTTATGCCTGTAAACAAAGCTGTTATAAACATCTGTGTACAGGTTTTTGTGTGGACATAAGTTTTCAACTCATATGGGTAAATACCGAGGAGCACAATTTCTGGATCATATGGTAAGAGTATGTTTAATTTTGTAAGAAACTTCTAAGCTATCTTTCAAAGTGGCTGTACCATTTTGCATTCCTATCAGGAATGAATGCGATTTCCCAATTCTCCACATCCTCACCAGAATTGGTATTGTTAGTGTTCTAGGTTATAGATGCCTTAACAAATGTGTGGTGCTATTTCATTATTGTTTTAATAATAAAACATGTAAACTATGACTAAATCTTTCCTTTCCTTTATTTCTTTATTTCTTTCCTCAGTAACCAGTGTTGGCTCCCTATTACCTACCAGATTAAATCCAAGTTTAATTTAGCTTTCAAGGACTACATCGCCTAGATGGCAACGTAAGTCATTGCTGACTTCACTCCCCCTCATAAGAAGAGCAATTAACAACGATTCTTGGAGAAGACACCACTGAGAAAATCCTAAAACACAAGGTTGAGGCTGAAGCCTTTTCCTGTATCACAGAGGCTGAGACAGACCACAGTAGAAGGGTAAGAGGAGGAGCCAGTGCAGCACCACACTGACAGGTCTCCCTTAAGCCTACAGTTGCTCCAGTGGGAAAAAGAACCCAGGATGGACATCTACTTCCCAAAGCACTGTGGACCATTTCTTGGGATTCCCCACTCCACTGTTACCCTACAGGGATTGCAGGGGAATCTGCAAGGCCTGGCTGGGAGTCTGATTTTGATAGAGAAAACAGTAGGGTCTTGTAACAACCAGCACTGAGATTCTGGTAGATTAAGTTCCTATCTAAATTGCCCCAGGGGTAGTACCAGCCAGTGGCTTTGCTTACCTTCAGGGTCAAGCTGGTAGTACAGCCTGAACAGAGAACTTGCGAGGGGCATATTGCCAAACCAGACAGCCTGGTCAGAACACCTGGAAACTGTAGCCCAGCAACACTCGAGCAGGAAGTCCAGCAGGCAGAGCTGACTGACCACAGAGCAAAGCCAGGGGCATGTTTTGGCCAGGGAACTTGGGGCATGAGTCAGCTTGAGTCAAAACCACGATCAAACTTTGCCAGCCTTGGAGCTGGTTCTGCCACCCTGCCCAGGCAGGGAAGCTAATTCATAGCCGCGCCCACTGCTGATGGTGCTTCCAAACCCACCTGACCCAGAAGCCTGGCCTAGGACCTGGCAAGTGACTGGACCAACAGCACTCAGGCAAAGCCACTGGCTAGGCTTTCTGCTTATCTGACGAGACGAGGCAGCTGCCACGTGTGCTCAGACAGTCTGGTATACAGGTCAGAAACATCAGTTCAAAAAGATACATGTACCCCAATGTTCACAGCAGCATTATTTATAATAGCCAACATTTGGAAGCAACCTAAGTGTTCATCAACAGATAGATGGATAAAAAAGATGTAGTTTGTGTATATGTATGTACTTCTCAACCACGAAAAAGAATGAAATTTTGCCATTTGCAACAACAATGGATAAACTTGGAGGGTATTATGCTAAGTGAAATAAGTCAGAGAAAGACAAATAGTGTATGCTATCACTTATATGTGGAATCTGAAAAATAAAACAAACTAGTGAATATAACAAAAGAGAATCACTCACAGATAGAGAACCAGTGGTGTTACCAGTGAGGAGAGGGACAGGGGAAGGGGCAAGGCAGGGGCATAGGATTAAGAAGTATAAACTACTACATATGAAATAAATAATGTACAGGGATATATTGTACAGCACAGGGAATATAGGCAATATTTTATAATAACTATAAATGGAGTATAATCTATAAAAATTTTGCATCTCTATATTGTACACCTGAAACAAGTATATTATAAATAAACTATAACAATAAAAAATAACAACTTAAGTAATCTGTTACTGGATACACAATATAGAAAATACATACACTTTCACTTCTCCACTACCTCACATTTTAGGTTATTGATGTTACAGTGTAAGTTTAAGAACGCTGTTGGTGGTAGTATTTTTGAAAAGGGTGTTATAACTTTAAGATATTTTATGTAAGCATCATTGTAACCATAAAGGAAAAACCTGAATTACACAGAAGAACTTGATAAAGAAGTCAAACTATATTGATATCAGAAATTATCAAAACATGAAAGATACCAAAAAAGAAAACAGGATAAAAAGCAAGAAACAATGAATACACAGAATACTCAGAAATCAACTAACAAAGTGGCAATAGCAAGTTCTTACCTATCAATTGTTACTTTAAATATATATGGATTAAATCTCCAATGAAGAGACAAAGAATGGCTGAACAGATAGAAAACAAGATCCAGTGTTACCCTGTGAATAAGAGACTCACTTTAGCTGAAGACACAGACTGGCTGGGAGTGAAGGGATAGAAAAAGATATTTCAAGCAAATGGTACCGAAATAAAAGCAAGGTAGCTTTATTTGTATTAGACAAAATAGACTTTAAACTATATTATATAATGGTAAAGGAGTCAATCCATCAAAAGGATGTAACAATTGCAAATATTTATGTACCCAACATTGGAGCACCTAAATAAAGCAAAAACTAACAGAACTAAAAAGATAAATAAATAGCAATACAACAATAACCAAAACCTTTTAATACTTCACTCTCAACAATGGATAGATCATACAATAGATTTGAACAACACTATAGACCAGTAGACCAGCTGGACCTAATCTGTATATACAGAGAGAGAGAGAACTTTCTGTCCAACAAAAGCAGGACATGCATTCTTCTCAGGTATAGGTGGAACATTTTATGAATAAACCATACATTAGGCCATGGCCAGAAATGCCAATATTCTTAAAACATAAAACCTATCATGACTGAATCAAGAAGTAGAATTTCAGAATATACCTATTACTAGTAAGGAGATTAAATCAGTAATCAAAGTCTACCAACGAAGAAAAGCCCAGGACCAGACAGCTTCACTGGTAAATTTACCACTCACGTAAAGATGAATTAATGCAAAGCCTTTTCAGATTCTTCCAGAAAACCAAAGAGGAGAGAACACTCCGAAACTAATTTTACAAGGCCAGCATTACTCTGATCAGAAAGTCACTACAAAAACGAAAGCTACAGGCTAATATTTCTGATGAACATTGATACAAATACTTCCAATAAAATACTAGTAAGCCAAATTCAGCAGCACATTAAAAGGATTATTCACCACGATCAAGTGGGATTTATCCCTGGGATACAAGGATAGTCGAACATGTGCAAATCAATATGATAACTGACAATAAAATAAAAGGAAAAATCATGTTAATCTCAATAGGAACAGAAAAATCATTTTATAGAATTCAACATTAGTTCATGATGAAAAACTCTTTAAAAATTGGATATAGAAGGAACTTACCTCAACATAATGAAGGCCATATATGACACGCCCACAGCTGACATCATTCTCATTGGTGAAAAGTTGTAATCTTTTTCTTCAAGATTAAGAACAAGAGAAGGATGCCAACTCTCACCACTCCTATTCAACACAGAAATGGACGTCCTAGCCAGAGCAGTCAGGAAAGAAAGAAAAAGACATCAGAATTAGAAAAGAAGTAAAATTTTCTCTATTTGTAGATGACATGATTTTATATATAGAAAATCCTAGGGATTCACCAAAAAACTTAGCTCTGATGAACAAATTCAGTAAAGTCAAATGATATAAAATTAATATATAATAAACAGTAGTATTTCTATACACTAATGACAAATTATCTGAAAAAAACAATTAATGTAATCCCTCTCACATTAGTATTAAAAACAACAAAATACTTAGGAATAAATTTAACCAAGGAGGTGAAAGATCTTTACACTGAAAACTATAAGACATTTAGGAAATAAAAAAGACACAAATAAATGGAAAAGCACCCCATGTTCGTAGATTGAAAGAAATAATGTTAAAATGTCCATAGTACCCAAAGCCATCTATGGATTCAATGCAATCCCTATCAAGGCTCCAGCAGCATTTTTTACAGAAGTAGGAAAAATAATCCTAAAATGTATATGGAACCACAAAAGAACCCCCCAAAGATCCAAAGCAATCCCGAGAAAGACCAACAAAGCAGGTGGCATCACACTTCCTGATTTCAAGCTGTACTATAAAGGTACAGTAATCAACACAGTTTGGTACTAATATAAAAACAGACACATGAAGCAATGGAACAGGATTGAGAGCCCAGAATTAAACCCGTGTATGTGTGTGTGTGTGTGTGTGTAGTCATTTGGTCAATATTTGACAGGGGAGCTAAGAATAGTCAATGGAGAAAAGACAGTCTCCTTAATAAAGGGTGCTGGGAAAATCCTCATGTAAAAGAATAAAACTAGACTGTATCTTATATCCCTTACAAAATTTAACTTGAAATGGATTAAAGACTTAAGTGTAAGATCTGACACTATAAACCTCCTAAAAGAAAACTTAGGGAAAGGGCTCCTTGACATGTGTCTTGGCAATCATTTTTGGATACAACTCTTAAGACATGAGCAACAAAATAAAAAATAAATGATTGGGACTACATAAAACTAAAGCACTGCTCAGAAAAAGAAAAATAAATAAGAGAAAGAAAAATTTTAAAATCTGCAGAATGGGAAAATACATCTGCAAAGCACAAGGGCCTAATATCCAAAATATGGTTTTAAAAAACTCATAATAACTCAACAGCCAAAAAAAACAAATAACCCAATTTAAGAAATGGGCCAGGTACCCAAATAGACATTTTTCCAAGGAAGATATACAAATAGCCAACAGATACATGAAAAGTATTCAACAAAATGCAAATCAAAACCAAAATGAGAGATCACCTCACACCTGTCAGAACAGCTATCCTCAAAAGGACAAGAGATAACAAATGCTGGAAGGGATGTGGTGAAAAGGGGACCCTTTGCATTTTTGTTGGTAATGTAAATTGGTGCAGCCTCTATGGAAAACAGTATGGAGGTTCCTCAAAAAAATTAAAATAGAACTACCACATAATACTGCAGTTCACTTCTGGGTATATATCTGACATAAAACACTGTGTTGGAGAAATATAAGCACCCGTCTTTATTTCAGCATTATTTATAATTGTCAAGACATGGAAATAACCTAAGCATCTACTGATGGGTGAATGGATGAAGAAAATGTGATATGCATACACATTGGAATATTATTCAGCCACAAAAAGGAAATCCTGCCATTTGTGACAAGGGATGGATGCTGAAAGCATTTTGCTAAATTAAATAAATCAGACGAAGACAAATCCTGTATGACCTCACTTATATGTTGAATCTAAAACAAATGAACAAAAAGCAAAAACAAGGTAATTCACAGAAAAAGAGATCAGACAGCTGGTTTCTTGAGGCAGGTGTGGTGGGTGGAAGAACTGACTGAAGGTGTTCAAAAGGCACAAACTTCCAGTTATGATATAAATAAGTGCTGGGGGTGTAATGTACAGTGTGATGACTAGTCAACACTGCTATCTGGTATGTTTTAAAGCTGCTGAGAGTAAATCCTAAAAGCTCCCATCACAGGAAAAAATTTTTTTCTTTTTTCTTTTGTATCTGTATGAGATGATGGATGTTAACTAAACTTGTAGTCATTTCAGAAAACATGTACGTCAGTCTGATGTACATCTTAAACGTATACAGTGCTGTATGTCAGTATATCCCATTAAAACTGAAAAAAAGAGCTGCATCAATTTATAGCTATACCTCATTTTTTGTTCTTATTTGACACAGATTATTTTTTCTGCTTAAACACATGCAGTTTATACTACAAATTAGATATGTTAAGCCAACTAATTACAATATAATATGAAATACCCAAATGAATGCTTCTCTAGTAACCCAGCAAGCAACTAAAACAGCCTGAGTTTGGGTGAGGAGATGATCTCCTGGAGTAGGTGTCGTTTTAGTTAGGATTATAGAGTAGGTACAAGAAAGTTGATTGAAGAAAATGCTTGGTCAGTTCAAGTGAATTAAATAGCATGTGTTTAGTCCCCAGATTTAAAAAATATTTTTTCAGGAGAGCATGGTATATGGATCTGGAAATTGCATTGGGTGAAGGTGGAAAAGTAGAGACAATTCAGATTAAAAAAACATCATAGGTGTAGCATCAAGAGTTTGGTTTTTCCCCTAGGGATGTCACTGGCGGATTTTAGAGAAATGTGACATGGTCAGATTTATGTTTTAAGTACCAGCTGGTAACAAGAAAAAGGATGAAATAGAGAAGGGAAACACTGAATGCAGGAAAATTAGATGAAACTATCACTGTATCCAGATGAGAAACAATAGGGGTCTGAACTAACTAAACAACATTCAAATAAGTGAAAGAAACTCATGCAGAATTTAGTGACAGCAGATCCTGTTGGACCCTGCTCATGTCCCCAGGACCTCTTTTACTGGTTTGCTATGCCCACCTCCTAACTCTTGCCAGAGTTGCTGCCAATGGCTCTCACTTGCAAACTCTTCCAGAGAACTGTCCTTGCATAAATGGAGCAATCATACAGTTTATATCTCGCCGCGATCTACTAACATGACTGACCGAGTTGACAGTATTTGCGGTAGGAGTCGGGAGAGAAATGGTATAAGAGCCAGCCTCTAGCCTCAACAGGACTAATTCTGTGGTGCAATTTATACTTTCCTCTGGGTCAGGCTGAGCCTAGACTTCTCCGAAAACTGCAGCATTGTTTGACTTTCCTTCCTGCTATGGACTGAATTGTGTCCCTCAAAATTTGTATGTTAAAGCATTAACCAGCAGTGTCACTGTATCTGAAGATGGGGGCCTTTGAGGAGATAATAAAGGTTAAACAGGATCATAAGGGTGGCATCTTAATCTGACAGGACTGGTGTCCTTGTAAGAAAAAGAGATAGAGCTCACTCTTCTGCCCACAGAGAGAGCACACCAGAAGGCAGCTGTCTGCAAGCCTGAAAGACAGGCCTCACCAGGGACTCAAATTGGCAGCACTTTGATCTTGGACTTCCCAGCCTTCAGAACTGTGAGGAAATAAATTGTTTAAGTCCCCAAGTCCGTGATACTGTGTTACGGCAGCCTAAGCAAACTAATACATCCTTTTCTCTACTTTTTTTTTCTTACAAGTTTCCCCAGATAGAATATGCTTAATGTATCATTTTAATGACCCTAGTTAATGAAGGTGGTATTTTATGTGTGAAGTCACCTACTTTTTTGGTCCTTAATTTTTCCATCTTTAAAATGGATTACTCTATTGTAAATCAGTGGATGTTCTGCTTCCTCTGCTAGATTGTTAACATCTTAAGTGCATTAAATGGCATTTCACCTATTATTTGTTGAAGTCCCCCTATTCTGTTAAGGTAGTGACTGATAAGTTATGTTCTTTAATAAGTAATCACATAGAATCATAGAAAGCAGAACAAAGAGGCCAAAGGAACCCCCCCCCTTCAAGTACAACTCATGTCCCTTTTACAGATGAAGGGAAAAAAGATGCCTAGGATATGCATGACATTGGATACCTACATTGCTGTAGCTATTTTAGCTCCTTCAATTAATTATGGTCATTTGGGGAAAAGGTAACTGATTTTCCATGAGTACAATATAAAAGGTACACCAGTAGGCGAAACCCTATCACTGATTACCCAGCTAATTACTGACTTAATCCAAACATTTAAAAGGTTAGCTTTTGTTTTCCAGACACACTAGATTCTGTGTCTGCAGAGAGCTTATAATATACCGCCATAAAAATTAAAGTAATTCACTCATCTTGGCAATATATACAAGATTCTAGAAAAGAATGAACTTAAAAAGATGTGGAAAAAAGTCCAATTGGCATAATATGAGCCAGAAAAATTGTAATGGCTAAAAGGGATGAGAACTGACTGTGTCAAACCATCCATCAAGAGATGACATATGTTATATTCATAGCAGGACATTTGTTTGTTGAAAGTGCTTAATTTGGCAAGCTTATGCAGAGGTGGGTATGGCAAATTTTACTTTAGAGTACAAAACAGCTTGGAATGTGAAGATGCTAATGAGATCATTTAGCAGTAGTTATAAAGCCATTCCAAAAAGGCAATATTTATCTGAAAGTTACATTATAATCCATATCATGTGCAGGCAATAGTGTCTTCAGGAAGGAATCCTACAAGACTGCTTTTTTTTTTTTTTTTTTTTGGCTCATTCTAGGAACTGAAACTTTAACCTTAATAGATAGGTAATAGACATCAGTTTATGCTTTTGTTATTGTTTTGGGTAGAGAAAAAATATAGTGTGAGATTTATCATGATAAAACTCTAATTTGATTTAAATGATGAACTTTCTATAATAACAAAATGTATACATACAGAAAAATATATGCGTATATAAATATCTATGTAAATGTGTATCTATATAAATAAAACTAGTTGGTTCTGGTGTCTGACTTCAGTTCTGCCCCAGCAAGGGATTTATGCTAAACCTAAACCAGAGAGGCGGTGAGGGTACAGTGAGGCTTCAGTTTCTTTGCAAATCAACCCAAAATGCTGTCTTATTTTTCAAGAACTGGTTTGGGTTGG